AAGAATACGAGCTCACTATCTTAATACCTTACAGTTTTGGACATCAGAAGTCCAAAGTGGGTCTTGCTGGGTTAAAATTACTGTCAGTGGGGCTGAATTCCCTCTGGAAGCCATAGGCAAGGAAATGTTTCTTTGTCTTGAAGGAGTTATATTCTTTGGCTGGTAGTTCCTTTTCATCTTTACACCCTGACTTCTGTTTCTGTGAGTACACATCCTTTTCTGATTCTTTAGCCCTCCATCTTCCACATTTAAGGACCCTGTGATTATTTTGGGCTCACCTGAATAATTCAGGATATTATTTTTCATTCTATTTACAATCTTAGTTTCCTTTTGCTAGGTAATCTATTTACAGATTCTGAGGATAAGGGCATGGACATTTTGGGGTGTGTATTATATTGCCTACCACAACCCACTAATATTTCACTGTCCATATTTCAAGCTGGAAGGGAGCTGGGGGAAATGGGATTTATAGTGCAGGATTAAAGGAACCATATCTGTTTTGCCTACCATTGTATTTTCAGCATTCAATGCAGCACCTAACACACAGCATCTACTCAATACATTTTATTGCATACAGGCACACATGAACACATGCATGATACGAATGTGCATCCTTATTACAGAACTTTTGGGATCAGATAAGAACTGAAAACAATGTAGCTGGTCATATGTAGGAAATGGATCAAACAACTGATTTTTTTTCCAAAATAAACTCTCAGTATATTTATACAATGGAATATCATGCAGCCTTTATAAACAATAAAACATCTTAAATGCAGTAAAATGAATATTCATTATTTATCATCAAAAGAAAATACAAGTTGCAAGACAGCATGTGCTGTATGACAATATTTATATTGTAGAAAAGAACTTGAAGTTTAGGGTCCTGAGAAAGAAAGGCACACACACACACACACACACACACACACGCACACACGAACAAACACACAAAATCAAATTCTTAGTTTACAATGCAACCCCTGTACCTAAGGTTCAGGGAAAATCACTGAAGGTGGTAGAGGTGGGGGAAGATTGCAAGAGCCAGAGGATCAGGACACCTGCTGCTAAATAGTGTCTTCTGGACATGACAGGGAAGCTGTACCTATGAAATATTAACAATATGGTTTTCTAAACAAGACCTGCATAATGACAACACCAGTTGGCAGGCCAATGTGGATGGGAGAAATTTCTTGAGGTCCCGGCTCTAGATGAGGAGTTACAGGCAATCAATTGCTGCTGAGAGAGAATCAGTTTTTCCAGGGACGAGCTCCCTGATAGGTTATCCAGTCCCAAGTGGTCAGCTCTAAACGTGTACAAACAAGCACCACTAAATGAACTCAATAGTGTGTGTGTGTGTGTGTGTGTGTGTGTGTGTGAATTATAATCAAGGAAGAATTCATGAAATTGAGAGGGAGTAGCGGGGACATGGGAAGAGTTGGAGGGGGAAAGGACGTGTAGAATTGATGCAAATACAGTAATTATGTACGAAATTCTCAAAAAGGAAAAGAAAAAGATAAAGAGTTGAAGGCCAGCCTCATCACATAGCAAACAAACAAGTAAAAAAGAAACAAGCAAAAACAATTCTTGAGGCTAGTGAGGTGGTTCAGTAGGTAAATGTGCTTGCCACCAAGCCTGACAACCTGAGTTCAATCCATGGGACCCACATGGCAGAAGGAGAGAACTGACTCCACAAGTTGTCCTCTGACCTCCATGTGTGTGTTCACACACTCGCTCCCTCTACAACTCACCCCCAAATAAATAAATAAATAAATAAATAAATAAATAAATGTAATAAAAATTTTTAAATGGCACAGTATTTGCACTCCAATTCTTGGTTTTGAACTGTTCCAGAAACACGTTAAACACATTTCATTGTCTTTGTAATGAATCTTCCTTCCTTCCTCCCTCCCTCCTTCCCTCCCTCCCTCTCTCTCTCTCTTTCTTTCTTTCTTTCTTTCTTTCATTTCTTTCCGTAATACTCTTCCACCATGTGGTAAAATAATAACACCTCCAGCACAGAAAAAATTTAAAAAGAACATATTAGTATAAGTGATCATAATTGGTAGTTATGCTCTCTGTTCATTAAGGTCTGTTATTGTTTCGTTAGAGCTACCTGACTTGGCTGTCTTATCTAAAGTAGCGAGCTGTCACTCTCCCATTCCTGTGGTCCACTTTATTTTTACGATGTTTTATGTTCATTTGTTTCTCTGTTGTAGCTCTTCTCTCAAACATGACTTCCATCCTGGAACTATTTCTAACACTTAGGACAGCAGTTCTCAAAACATGAGCTTTAGACCAACAACATCAGCATCACCTGGGAACTTGTTAGACATGCAAATTATCTAAGCCCCACCCAGAGCTAGTAATTCAGAAGCCTTGGGAATAGGGCCAAGCATTTGGCGTTTTAACAAGCCATCCAGGGTATTCTGATACTTTGGTTTTCGTTTTCTAGTTAGCGCTTGCCCATCTGTCTTCTTAAGCATGTTTTCCAGGAAGAAAGACATTAGCTGTCTCACCAATTCTATCCTCCATGAGGCTCTTTTTCTTTTCTTTTTAAAAAATATTTTATTTATTATTTTTATTTTATGTGTATGAGTGTATTGCCTGCATGTATGTGAGTGCACCCGTGTCATGCAATGCCACGGGTCAGAAGAGGGCTTCAGATTTCCCTGGATCGGGAGTTAAGGACGGTTCGTACCTGCCATGTGGGTGCTGGGAATTGAACCCGAGTCCTCTGCAAGAGCAGTCAGTGCTCTTAACTCTTGAGCCATCTCTCCAGCCTCTCTTTTTTTAAGATGTCTTTTTATTCATGTGTATTTGTTTCTTGGTGTTTTGGGCCATGTGGGCTCACAGATATGTATCTGTGTCAATGTAGTGTTGAGGCATCCATAGACAATATTTATGTGGATGATTGTGGCTGTTCTTCAACAAAGCTTCATTTATAGACACTGAAATCTCAATTGCTGGCAATCTGTTGGATGTAATGTATGTTACGTGAAGTTATTTTGCCTCACTCTGATTGCATTTGTTTGTTCCTCTCTGAAATTCCTGCCTTTGTCTTTTGTACTTCTTTTCTGTCTGTAAGAGGAAATCACACTAGTGGGTAGTATTCTTGGTCATTCACTTTGTTTTTTTAAAATTTATTATTATTTTTTATGTGTATGCATGTATTGCCTGCATGTAGGTAAGTGTACCTGTGTCGTGAAATGCCTGCCGAGGACAGAAGAGGCCGTTAGATCCCCTGGAACTGGAGTTACGGACAGTTGTTAGCTGCCATGTGGGTGCTGGGATTTGAACCTGGGTCTTCTGCAAGAACAGCCAGTGTTCTTAACCATGGAGCCACCTCTCCAGCCCCGGTCATTTACTTTGTATGGTGGGAGATGAAGCCCAATGCACAGTGATTCTGTGTTCTAGAGAAGAACCATTGCTGGAATACCACTGGCTGAGCAGTCTGGAGTGAAATGTGTGCTCTTGAAAAATGGGTAAATCTTTGTGGGTCAAATTAATACTTGCTAGAGAGCAGCACATTGAAGAAGAGATTCTCATTCATATAGACAAGGCAGGCTATTCTGTAGCTATTAGCCAAACCTTTCTCCTTAGCGATTATACTTTGTGAGCATGAATTTCATTTTTTGTTAAAGATTTATTTTTCTGGGCATGGTGGTGCACACCTTTAATCCCAGCACTCAGGAGGCAGAGGCAAACAGAGCTCTGTAAGTTCAAGGCCAGCCTGGTCTACAGAGTGAGTTTGAGGCCAGTTGCGGCCACAGGGAGACCCTGTCTCAAAAAGACAAAAAAAAAGGATGTATTTTAGGGGGCTGGAGAGATGGTTCAGTGGCTAAGAGCACTGGCTGCTCTTACAGATGACTTGGGGTTCTATTTTCAGCACCCATATTGTGGCTAACAACCATCCATAACTCCAGTTCCAAGGATCTGATGTCCTCTTCTGGTCTCTGTGGGCATTGCATGAATGTGTACCCTTAACATACACACAGGGAAAACACTGATACAACGTAAAATAAAAATAAGTAAATTTTTTAAAAAGTAAATTTTAAAAAGGATGTATTATTTTTATTTACATGTACATGTGTTCATGCATGTGTGTGGGTATTTGTGGAAGCCAGAAGAAGGCATCAGATCCCCTGAATCAAGAGTTATAGGTGATTGTGAGCTGCCTGATGTGGATACTGGGAACTGAATTCCAGATCTCTGAAAGAGCAGCAAGCACTTTTAACCATTGAACCATCTCTCCTGTCCCTCGGCTTTACTTCTACATGGGTGATTTAGCTACTGTTGCATTCCCAAGAAACTAACAGCAGATATCAAAGCTTAATTCTTGATAAAGTATCAGTGACCAAGGGGACACTATCCAGTCACCTGTGAAAGTTAATTGCATTGGTGCCCTTCCACCTAGGACAGTGAATTGTCTCAATTGGAATCAGTACAGATTTTAAGTTAGGATTTGCCCTGCCTTCCTGTTCTGCCTCTATCCCACTCTGCTATCTCTTCTTTTCCTTTGCAGCTTTCACTCTCCAGAAAATCCTTTGCATTCCTGATATGGTTTCAGCTCCTCCTTCCAAAAGAATGTAACTCACAAGAGCCTCTTTGCTAGTGAGAAATGAGTTACTCATAATGTGGCATGTACTGATGGTGAGTATTCGAATTATCACCCATGGTGGCTTGAAACCCGATGCAATTGGAAGGCAAAGATTTGCAAATTCAAGTGCTAGACCACCTAGTCCCTATGGTGATGATGATTGCAAGGGGCATGATTATGGCCAGCTGTTAATTATGACCTTGGAAAGCTTACCCAGAAAAGAGAACAAATTGAAAGCCTTGAATGCACAACTCGGAATACACTGGAAGATCAAAGAGATCAGTGCCAGCAGTGAAGTAGACTAGAGCTGCAGAACAGATATGCCTGGGGATCACGCTCAGGGACTGATTAGAAATGTTACAGAGGCACAGCATCAATTAAAGGAACAGCCTTGCTAGGACTCTTAGGCCAAGTTAAAGGCACTCCTGGGGAAAAAATAGGACCCTGACACATTGGCTGGAAATATTGGCATAAACAGATGAGACTGAGAAAAAAATTAACCCCTACATTCCCCTGAACCTTTCTTGCAAATTTAACTAGCCCTTTCTCCCTTCTAAAGGTACTGATTTTCCTCTTTTAGTGATTTTCACTGAAGTGTTTTCCATCCAAGAAATGCTCATTTTCCTCAGGACCAACCCTTGAAATACTTCATTGCCTCCAGTCCCATAAGAATTGTTACATCTCACTCAAGCTTGATGGCTCATGCCTGTAATCCTAACACTTGAGAGGCTGGAAGCCAAAGGGCAGCCACTGGTTTGAGGCTAGCCTGGGCTACATAGTGAGTGAGCTATCTAACAAAACCCAGCTTGTTTCAAAAAACAAAACAAAACAAATAAATGGTTAGAGCTCAGCATCTGAGCAAATGCCTGAGGGGAAGGGGAAGGTCAAGGTATTATGTGTATCTACTCAGCACCTACTTTCACCTTCTCTTAGAAGTACATGGCATGGTTCTCTCTTGGGAAGCCAGCACCCACACTTGGACCATGTACTGTCTTTTTCCTAAGTGTCTTTTTCCTGATGTCCATTAAAACCTCTTCTTTTTAAACTTTTATTTATGTTTATGTGTTTGTGTGTTTATCTGGGTATGTGTATACCACATGTGTGCAAGTCCTGAAGGAGGCCAGAGGAGGACATTAGATTCTCTGGAACTGAAGTTACAGATGGCTGTGAGCTGCCTGACATAGGTTCTGGGAACCAAACTTAGGTCCTTTGCAAGAGCCGCAAATGCTCTGATCTGCTGAGCCATCTCTCCAACTCTTTTACTTGATGAAATTAACACAGCCTTTGGCACATATTGATTTAACAAGTATTATCAGAAACAGCTTGGCCTCCTGGGGGTGGAGCTGTGTGGCAGAGCACATGTGCTTAACACACTTGGAAGGCCCTGAGTACAATCCCTAGTGCATGCCTGAGCTCAAGCAAGCGAGCAAGCGAGCGCTCACACACGTGCGATTTGCCTTATTCTCTTCACTGTATAGGAAATAAACTTTATGAAACTTCAAGTGCCTGATACGTGGATGATATTTCCATGCAGTTGAGCCTTCTGTAGCATGTTAAGGCATGCCATTTTAAACAAGCATCTAGGGGTTTGGTATGTAGCTTGGTATGTCTAGCACACCTGAGGCCCCAGTTTGAATCCTCTGTACTGCATACACTGAGTGTCTTGGTGCATACCTTAAAGTCCAGGACTTGGGAGGTGGAGGCAGAAGGATCAGGAGCTCAAAGTCATCCTCAGCTACACTGAGAGTTCGAGGTCAGACTAGGAAACAGGAGTCCCTATCTCAAAAATAAAGAAATCAGTACCTAGAACTGTTTTCTCTTGCATCAACCACCACAGTTAAACCCATCTTCAGTACCCTCTCTGAATTTAGAATATATATATATATAATTTT